AATCATTTCAAATCATTTTAGAATGCAACCACAAAGATGTAAACAATATACATATTTAAATTATAATCATCTACTGCAGCCCATCAAAATTTATAAGTAAACAGAGTTTTCCAGTAAATGATACTGAGATAAAATAACTTTTTGAGTTGGCCCTTTTCTTTTGAATGCATCAATTACTTTTATCATTAGCACTGTATCACAGAATTCACTTTTAATGCTTGTAATGCAATTAATTGTTTCTGGGTAAGATTCTTAATGTGTTTCAACACAAAACTTTCCGGGTAAGATTCTTGTTGTGTTTCAACACAAAACTCATCAGAAGCATTTTAAAAAAGAATGTACTAATGTAACAAGGAATGATAACAAAAGTACATATTTAGTGTGCAGTTCCTTTCATATCCGTAAAGAATCTGCAAAAGAACTTTAAGAGTACATAAGCAAGAAAATTAAATGTAAATGAAAAGTGAAACATATCCGAAATCTATATTGCCAAAAATCACAACTAAAACAGAAAGAATGAAATTCAGTATATATGTTTACATCACAGAAGTACACATATTTGAATAGCCAAGACAAATTTAATAATATTGTAATTCATGAGCTAAAAATAACTGTCATATTTTTAGAACAAATTATTTGACTTAATCAACAACAATTAAAGTAATGAGAAGTTCATAAATTCTTGAAGAATAAGAAATATGCGATGAAGAGAAGAAATATCAATTTCTTTTTCCTGTACAACAATTTAAAGGTTTTAAAAAAGATAAAAGATTAAAAACAAGCAAAATTACAGTTATTAACCAAAAATGTATATTACATGATTTATTCAGTTAGACAGAACATTAATATAAATCCAAATGTTATTCTAAAATGTTCTTGAAACTGTACAAGACTAAAAATGAATAAAAAATTTGAATAGCTAATTTTTAAATGAAGAAAACAATAGTTTATTTTCAAGGAAAAAAATGCTTCTTCAAACTAGCAAATATTTGCAAAATTAGTTATTTTAAAAGCACTTACCTATTTGAGGATACTATAATACTCGCACCTGGACTTCAATGTTTATTTCAAAAACAGAAACTTGAAATCATATTGTTCAGACAGTCATGCAAAATTAAGGAAAAAAAGAAAAAGAATGCTGGAAAAAATTTTCTGTTATGTGAAATTACCAACAGCATGAATGACAATTTACACCGCCTAAAATGACTTCAAAAGCATTTAGTAGAAAAACTTTTCCAGACTTAAGCAAAGATTCATAACATATCAATCTGAAGGAAAAGTAAAAAGGAATTGTTTCAAAATCAGGGTAATCTTTGAAACTGAATACATTGTTTTTTTTCCCATATGTATTTAACAAAATAATACTCTAAATGTTAATTACATGATAATATTTATTTCACCATTTCTGTCTATTACAGAAGTCACTATTGATATGAAATGCATGCAAAATAAATACCTCATTTAAATTATTTGTTTAGTATACTCTAAAACCTCTACACAAAATACAATAACTTATGAAGGATAGCTACTAGACAGATAACTATATATATCAGGATCAGACTCAACCACAGCATTGAGAGATGTAATCGATCACCTATCAAACTCTTCTATTTGTGAATAATGAAATAAGCAAAACTAATATGAAAAGCAAAAATATTTATACTGAATAGCAATAGAGAAAATGCTAAGGGGAAGGGAAGAAATATTTTAAAGCTGCCCTAGCAATCACTGCCCCCCCCAATATATGCTACATAAAATACTTCCTAAAACTGCAAAATGAAAATATTTTCAAGACTTCACAAATAATTTTACGTACATCAAAATGAAAAAATAATTTTACATACAGAATTAAATACAAGCAGCCTCAAATTGATTGGATTATCTGCACTGCAGCCTAAATAATTTATTTCAAATGTTTTAACTAAAGAAAGATTATTTTTCTCAGAATATACACATGATAAAAACTGAAGCTGTTGCCAATACATACAGAACTAGACTAATTTTTTAAATAAGGAATTTATATTCATCTCAATATTCTGCACTAAAAGTTATTTTATGCTGCATGTATTGCAAACTAACATGCTAAATGTTTTGTACACAAAGGATAAAAAAACTAATGCTGCATGTATTGCAAACTAACATGCTAAATGTTTTGTACACAAAGGATAAAAAAACTATATCCAGAAAACACATGAAGAATCAGAAGTACATAAAAAAGATAGGAAGATTTATAATGAAAAAGAAAACTGCTGCACCCTAACACTTAATACTTTCACATTAATTTTACAACAGATTGTTATAAAGTAGATAATATGGGAAAATCCTGCAACCAGTAAAAAGGAGAAATGTTTTTTTTTTTTTTTTTTTTTTTTTTTTTTTTTTTTTTTTTGTTTTTTCTTTTTTTTTTTTTTTTTTTTTTTTTTTTTTTTTTTTGTTTTTTTTTTCACCTTTTGGGCACATTAAATTGTAACCTAATAAATACATTTACAAAAATATTCAAATAATGCTTCATTGAAAATTTTCTATCTTATCTTAAAAGAGCATGTATTTAATTGCTTATACTACTTTTTATTATACTTGCACAATTCTTTTTGGGTGCATCGAACTCATTTCTCCCCAATTATTTTATTTTAGGTACATTAAAAGAACTTTCTGAAGTTAATATTCTCTTTTATACATCTCCATCTATAATTAAGCAGAGTCTTTAATCTTTAATTAGGCAGAAATGTTATAATTTCATGAAGTTTCTACGTAGGAGATTCAGAGATTATCACATGACATTCAAAGATTACCATCATGTCTTAGATAATCTTCATTATTCAAGAATATTATCAACAAGATGTTTAAGTTTGTGAGCTCACTTTTTACATAACACATTTTATTCCTTTCATTTCTCATTCTCATCATATTGGAATTCTAAATGCTTATGATACTGAATAACTTTTCGTAAATTAACATCAAACTCAACAGGAACTGTGTATCATCACAATACCAAAAAACTGTTTAGAACTTCAAATAAAAGTACTAAAAGCAGCAAATTAATTTAAAACTGGAAGCGCCAATTCAGAATTGACACTAAAAGTTTGATAAATTTAAAACATACAAGTTATCATTTTTCTAGAATAAATAGATTGGAAAACAATTGTTATAAGAAGAATGCTTAGAAAGTAACAGCATTTTTGAACAGGAAATTCCTGTATTAAATTGTGTATTTCTGACAGTATAATACTCTTTATGGCACACAAACAAAATCAAATTCCAAGGAGAATCAAACAAGCCATAAAGAGCATGTTGCAGCCTTATATGAACAGTCATGAAACATAGTTTCAGATTTTCCTCCCTTTGATAATAGCTTAAGCTTGAGGGGGGTGGGAGATTATAAAGAAGTTTCTGACAGCTTCCCACTGTACTGTTTCAAACGCATTGCAAACATCTGTGAAAGCACTAATAAAACAAATTACGTGTAAAATTATAAAAAGAGCTGGATGTCATCAGTCTACCAACACTGACTAATTATACAAAAATGATGAAAAGATTTATCATTGATGCACCTCTGAACTTATCTCAGTCAAAATTCAATCATGCAAAAAATGTTAGGAAATACTCAGACATCTAAGAAAACATTTATGCTGAATGCTTGGTGGAATTACAAAGATGCAATCTACACAAAATGCATTCTGAAAAAGCATAATCAATATTGTAAAAGGACAATATAAATCTCCACACTGCTAAAGATTCAGCATTAACTCAAAAATTCCCATGAAATGAAGCTTTGTTGTGTATCAGCCAGACTTTACATTATTTTATAACCATTGGTTTATAACATTTTTTCTATGACAGCTGAATACTCAACTAATCTGGGTGAGGCAAATTAAACACATGAATGTCAACAGTTCCTTTTGCTAAGCCAAAAGTTTAATACTGTGGGTGAATTAAACAAGGGTCAAACAGATCAGTTCAACTCAACTTAAAATTATACACTCTGAAATTTATCTTGGCTCTTTTTTTTAAAGGCACTAATTAAAAGATCTTACTATTTTTAAGGCACTAATTAAATCAATACTGCTGCTTCAAATATGTCTTCTCCCACCACACTCCCAAATAATTTCCAGCTCCACACACCCAGAAAAAGATCCCAAAAATGCACATTTCATAAAACAAATGTTTATGATAAAATAAAAATTTGTCCTAGCTTTTAGGTCCCCATGACTTAAATGAAAAATATAATTCACACAGCAATTCTATCATTTCAACAAAACCCTACTTTAAAAAAAAGAGAGTGAGAGAGAAACATAATTTTAATATAGGACAGAAATAAACCAACAAAAGGAGAATATTAGAATATTTGAATCAAGTCTGATGTAAAATAAACTTATATTAGAGGACTCGAATTAATATGTCAATAGTTAGTAAGAACTGAAGAACATAGAATTTAATAATAATTTCTTAATGTCTTATAATCTCTTATAATGACGTTTTAAAAAAAGGAAAATGCTTTCCCTTTTTATCTTTCCAAGATAGAGACTTAATACCCCTGGCACACACTGCAATCAGTTCTTCCAATATCAAATGTTAAAAACTAAATTTTCTACAGCTTTCCCCACAAAATGCTGAAATGCTTTGCAGCTCACAAGAATGAGCAGCAAATACACGAAATAAGAGGGGCTAATATTCAGTCTTGTAGGAGGGGGGAGGCATTAAAGGACAAAATAATCTCTTAACAAGCCTGCTCAGAAAGCAGAATGAGGATAAAGGTGGCAAATGAAATAAACTTGAGTTCCCAACAGATGTTACTCCATACCATTAAACGTGAAGCAAGCACGTAACAAAAGACTTGCACAAAATTATTCTACATGCAGCTGCAAAATAAACAAAAAATATAAATTTCACATTGCAAATTAAAAGCAAGCTTTCCTGGAGAGCAAAACCTCCAATATTTATAAATGCATTTGAAATATTTAAACTAACACACTTCAGTCTCATATATATGAGATACCAACCTCACTGACTTCATCTTCTGTTGTAAACCCTAACATAACTGCTTCTGTCATACAAAATTCTCCACTGGTTGCTGCTTTGCCATCATTTTCATCTTTCAGTTCATTCTGAAGTTGCTGCAACTGTTTGTTTACAAGTTCTGGTTGATGCATTGACTTTAAAGCTTCCATATCCTTCTTCAAGACATCTTCCACATTTGGTAAATTCATCTGATATCGATAAGCTATATCAGCACTCAATTCAATCTTATCGGGATGAGGAGGTTGAGCATAATTTTTTTTCATTTCGATATCCATATCCTAGCAAAATAAACTTGCACTAATGAGAATACAAATGACATGTACGTGTACTTAAAATACATTTAAATAATACGCTTTGAAATTATTAAATATGGTTTATTATTTCGCATAAAATAATAGTTTCAGACAAATCAGGTAATGGGTTATTTTATATAACTTTAAAATAACCCATTACCAAGAAAAGTTATTTTGAAACATTAAAATATAAACACACTTTCCACAAAAACCACACAGTAAAATGAGATCGAAAAGCAAATATATAACTGTACTTTATTATTAAATTTTGAGTTAATAGACTTGAACAAAAACTTTTGCGCTTTAACAAGAAAAGAGCACAAAAGCTATTACAAATCCTACGAAAAATGTAGCAAATTTAGGTGCAGACTGAATTTACCTTTTTATCCAAGGTAACTAAATTTTCCACAAAAAAATACGAAGAAATTACTTATTTAACTTTAGAGTTAAATAAGTAACTTTGCTATCATAAGAAAATAAACTTTTAAAACTTTTACATTTTTGGATGTTTCTACTGCTTACCGTATTTGACGGCATATAAGATGCACCCTTATTTAGAAGGCCACACACAGCAGTGTGAAAAGTTTGTGTTCTAGACCTTTATCCGGATAAATACATTCATATTGAAAGTTCACCTGTGGTCCTTCACGTATAAGACTCAGTAATTTTTTTTGAGACCAATTTAGGAAAAAAGTCGTCTTATGCCGTCAATACGGTAATTCTTTTATAGAAATAATTACTGACTCGTCGGGACTTCGGCAATTCCGATTAAGGGTTTTTCCGATTCAGATCACCATTAAATCGGTAAGATGCATCAAATTATCAATTAAAATATGAACGATTTAGGAAATAGCGAGCAATTATGATCTAAAGGGTATCAAAATTTACAAAAAAAAAAAGCTTAATATTTATTTGTTTACTTTATTAAACATTTCTTTCAATGTAAGTTGTTTAAGTTGCTTCGTTTTTTGTGCTAAACGTGCATGCGTAGCATTAAATGCACATGCGCAAAGCATACAAAAAAAAAACGTTTGTGGCTTTCAGGTCTGGATTATAGATCATTCCACATAATGGACATCCGGATTACAGACTTTGTACTGAACTGATTTTTGTATCCTTTCAGAGATATATATATATAACACTTCACAAATTACAATATTATAAAAATTTATATCTGTTAAGTGATTAAATAAACATTGTCTTAACTTGAATGTAAATGTAATGGAATAAAAATTATCTCAGCCAGAAAAAATTTCAAATAAATGTATGAGAGGGGTGACTGCAAGTCCATTTCAGAAATTCTGAAAATTACTGTAGAGTAAAAAAAATCTAACAGCATTGAAAATAATTCAGAATATTAATGCTATGCACACACATACATATTTTCAGATAATTTCCTTAGAGAAGCAAAATGTTTAAATTTTTAAAACTTATTAATAACTAATTTATTATGTTGTACTACATTTCATACTAGTTTTTTGGTTTCTCAACATTTTTGCAAATATTTGCAAAGCTTAACTTGCTTTTGATAGGAATTACTACATACATATTTTTCTTTTAAGTTAAGTGTTATCAGCAACACATTTTAATGCAGATAGTAGCTTTTCAGTTAAACCTTGATGTATTACATTAGAGCTTAAATTATGCATATCAACAGGTATTGGAGATGAACTGCTAGAAAGAACATGATGGTTCAAAGAATATAAAGAATTTTGGCAAGCTGTCCAGTTATGCACTTAATTCACCCCAGAATCTTTGCCAATAGAATCTTTATAAGGATTTTTTACCCCAAAAGCTTCACATGTATTTTTGTGTAATGGAAATAAATAATATTTTACAGTCTCTGCAACCAGGTTATCAGTGTTGAAGGATGTTCTACATTCTGTCCTAATATCACTCATATAATTAAATAAATTTTCAACAAAGGGTCCATGCAAGCGAGTTAAAACAGACATAAGCAGTTAGCAAATGCTTTCCATCTTCTCTCAGCTCAAAAGTTTACAATATCTATTTTTCCACAGGGTTCATAGCCACATTTTAGTTAAAAAAATAAGAAAAAATAAGCACCTGTCTAATTACTTATACAACTGATACCCTAAAATTAGACTTGTAATTTAAAATATGAGAAATGCAGTATTTATTAAGAGAGAATAAGCATTTACCTCACCATGGAAAAAATGACTTTTTTTTTTTTTAATTTTAAATAACATTCAATTTACAGACTATATTACATGAGAGAAAAAAAACTATGCAAACTATATTACAAGATTAATGATGAAATTTTAGTTCAAAATAGAGAAAATAAATAATAATAAGGCATATTTATTGTATTCGCTGGACCTAATAATAATACAATTTATTTTTCCACTCATATTGATATTTAAAATTTAAATCTAAATCTGAACATTTCATGTTCATTTCATTCAGTTTTCCCTACGATATTCAGCAAAGTAATGGATAGAATCATTCTTCGCTGGTTGGTAGACTGCAGAACTTTTCAATCTAGATCCAGTCCTATTCATATAGATTGGAAAAGACAAACAAAATGGGGAAAAAAAAAGGTCTGCTGCTTGTTTTCAGTGAACTGTAACAGTTTCAATTTCGAATTTGCACAGAAAGGGAGAACCTCCCAATCTTCGACTGTATATGTTGGCCAAAAATTTTAATTATTTTGACTATTCGATTTTTTCCCTTTATTTAAGCCATTCGATATTATTTCCTAGAAAGCTATCTGTGTTAAAACACAACATTTGGAAGTTACTATACTTAGCAGTTATGCAAATGTTATTATAAACATTCATACATATACTAATATAAGCATAATGATCATAAAAAAAATATGAACTGATGAGCGGAACGAGAATGCAATTATTAAGATCTGGATAGAAATCAAATGAGTATAGTATTTGGGGTGAGAGGAAAGATGCCGAATGTACGAATTTTCTACCTGCTTCGCAATTCTTTGACCATAACGAAGGGCACCTGTCTGTACTATTGGCGCACCAAAGGTAATGTTAATGCAGAAAAGGGGTAGCGCGCTCATTAAAAAAATTAAAAAAAAAGCACTAAAAGCAAAAAAAAAAAAAAAAAGCACTAAAAAAGGGTGGCTTTAAAGAAAAAGTAAGCATCTATAAGGGCCTTTATATTTTATTTTCAAATATAAGGACTTATAAGCACTTATAAGAACCACTATGAATCCTGTTCCAGTTTTTGTACAAGTGTCTATAGGTAACTAGTATTTACATGAACTAAAAATTGTCATTTTATGTAATCTCTGAATGATATATTTTATCTAAATAATGTGAGAAAGATAATAAGTGAATATTTCACAAATCTGGAAATGCTGAATTTTAGAAAATCCAGCATTATATTAAAATGGAATAGAATGGAATATGCACAATTTAATTAAGTTTAATTCTTTTAAGCTTTATTTTAAGGTCATACCAATGAAACACTTTCCTTACCTTAGGCTAAAAATTAAAAACTTGGAGTTTTGACGAGCTACTACGAGACTGAGAGATGTGATAAAAAATCTGGACAACTGGCACCTAAGACATTAGGTTTTTAGAAAATTTTATGGGAAAATCAAGGAATGGTCTTTACTTCCATTCTTAATCATTCTCTATTGTCCATTACTAAAGAGCCAAAGACATGGTGAAAGTTTACCAATATGGCACTGAAAATGTGCAGTGTGGTTTTACCAGAAAAGCATCAAAGCCTCTTTAAAACAGAAGTTCAGCTTTAAGAGGGACATGCTTGAAAAGATTCTTAAATATAAAAGAAAAAATATTCTCACACAAAAAATTTGTTGCAAATATATATATTGAAGGAAAATGCAATTACCCATCAAAAATTAAGGACATTTTTATTCATGCTTTATACTTTTATCAGAAGTTCACCTCGGTGAACCCTGAATTTTAATGTGAATAAAAATACAGCAAAATTGAAAACATTTCCTCATATTTTGCTGACAATACTCTTAGGAACATAGCTGCTATCGTTCAAATAGTGCTTCAAGAGTTTCAACTTCAGATATTCTACCAATATCAAATGGTGATACAGGCATATTTATGCATTCAGTTTTTATTATATTTTATTACTGATTAATTTATTGTACATTATTTTTACACAGTTTATTAATCTGAAATGAAATACTGAATTACTTAATTATGAATTATCCATCTTACACTCTACAATACACACACTTCCAGTAAAAAGATAATAGTTCTCAAGTAAAAATTATTTTCTATACACAGATACATACTTATATTCTAAATTATTTTCTATACATAGATACATACTTATATTCTAAATTATTTTCTATAGATTTTACACTTTACTTTAAGTCTACAGACTTAACCTAATCATACTTTTGCATTTTATGCAAGTATTAAAAGACGAAAAAGTTTTAGGTAATGCATAACTATCATTATCTTACTCATTGCTTAATTTCCTTTAGAACTCACCTCATCTTTTTCAGCAGACTGGAATGAAGAACTCTGAGTAAATGAAGACTGCGTATCATCTATCTGCATGTCAGACTCTGTTACTTCAGTTTTTACAAATTTTTTGCTGCTCATCACATCTTTCAACTTGGGCACCTGCTTTTCTGTTGTTGGTTCAACAGAACACGCCACTGTATTCTACCAGAATCAAATAAATAACATATAGCAAACTTTACAATTTTAATCAAATTGATTTTTAAATTGCTAAAAAAAAAGCTGTTTATGTAACAGCAATGCCACTCATAAAAATGTCACACTTTTTAAAGAGAATAGTAACATTCTAATGCATCTAAGGGAAGATGATGAATGTATGCTTTAGATAAATCCTTACATTATAAAAATATGATAGAATTATTCCTACTGTAATTGTCTTTAATATAACCAACATTTATTTTGCACAATTTCAACCCAAAATGCTAAAAGTTACATAAGGTAAATATTCATATGCACATTAAATACATCATTTTTTCTTTTTATTTAACTATGGAATAACTACTTTCTGTCTTTTTAAACTGTTCTCAACTATAGCTGAATCTAACGGCTCCCCTTTATGCTTCTTAATTCATTTTGTGCATCATGATTTAGAAATTTCTCTACTCAAATAAACTAATATATCAGCTATATGTGTTTTTAATTGAAAAAAAGCATTCAAAGTGCTGGTAAGCATAAGGACAGAAACACTCAATCAAGATACATCCTTTATACCAATGACTCGGCAGTATTTTCCCAAAATTAGGTTCCTTTCCCTTTCCATATTAACATTATACATGGGTTTGAATATGTCTTCCTTAAATCAAAAGTGGAAGTCATTCAACGATACACAACTTGCACTGGCAAACAGAAAATAACGGAAATAGTTAGCTTTGATTTCAATTAATAAATAAATTCAAGGAGTTAATATACTGAGAAATGTCAGCTTAATCCTCAAACTAATTTAACTTCTGCGATTACATGCATTAAAAAATTACTATCATATCACCTGATGTGCTAACTGCTGTCAACAATAATAAATACTTCGTATACAGGGTGCACCAGTACATTAGTGACAAACTTTCAGGAGAGATAGAGTATGCCTAGACGATGGGAAATCACATAGCAATGCATGGTCAAAAACGTAAAAAAGGAAGAACACAAATAGTGAAACAAAACATGTTTTATTATGTTTAGTACAGCAGAAACCTACGAATAAGAACAAAAACAATGATCGTCATTAAAGAAGGTGTTTGAAATTACCCCGGATCATGATGGACCCTCACTCCTCTGCCACACGAAAGATCTGCATCACGAATGGAAGATTGCATGGAAGATGCACGCACAACACACGGTTCCTGCATTACGGTCTCAGTCGTAATTCCGAACACCTTCTTTGATAATGATCGTCTCTTTATGTTGTTTGCTCTTGATGTACTTAATAAGCACGTCTTAAAATAATAAACATGTCTTCTCACTCTGTTCTTGTCCTTTCTTGACTATTAAGTCATCACTACTGCACTAGAAAAGCTTTTCCAACCATACATTCCTATATGATTTCCCATCATCTAAGTGTACTCTATCTCTACAGAAAGTTTATCACCACTGTACTAATATGCAGAGTGTATATCCCCCTGCATATAGATATTAAAACTGATAACAAATCCAGCAACTGCATTAGCTAAAACCAAATATCCAACTAAGCATTTAAAAATGGAGATCATTTCATGCAATACAAAGCTGTATACAAGTCTGCTACAACAAAATTTCAGAACATTTCAAAGTAAAGAATACTTCACATTCTAAAACTTCACAGAGGCAGGCCTATGCCAGTAAAATTAATTCTACTCTATGCTGCTCAATGCTGACTATGAATTTTATGTAAAATACAGGTCTAATATAATCACAAGTATTTTTCAGTATGAAGTAACATTCATTAATTTGCTTAATGTTAAATTATGACTCATCAATAAATATAATATAGAAGCACATCTTTATGTGATCACATTTATCGATAGCTATTCTGATAACATTAACCAAATAACAACATTAAATGAGAGGAAAAAATATCTTTCAAAACAGCAATGGAATTAAATAACTGAATATTAAAATATCAGGAGATATGTTAAAAGACATTGGTCAAAAAGATATTTTCACAGCATTTTAATTAAGAAAATTCAAAAGTTTATTAAGTGTTCAAAATGTTTTAAATAAAAATGTTCATTTTTGAACTGCACATAATGCTTCTGGAAAATATTTAACCAATGCTGTACGCCTAATCCGAAGGTATACCTCATTGGAAAAGAATACTCTAATGTAAAATTTTAAATTAAACATATATACATATACATATCTCTGCATGTATACAAACATAATAAATTTTAAATATTCAGGGACATCAACATGAATAATATATGTAACTTGTTTTCACAGTTCCAGGTTAAGAGTAGATTGAAGGGTGCCCCTTGAATTATCGCTAAGTTGTTTCATTTATCTGCAAGCTGTTGTTTCATGTATGGTAACTTGAGAAATCAATTGCTGTGGAAACTCTATTATGGTTATGTGATTACAATGAATTTGAATGATGGGACGGATTTTGGTACGTTGTTATTTTGTGGTTTACACGGTATAATGGCTGAATACTGCAATATCAATTTGAAGTTTCTGTACGATTTCAAACAAAAGGGAAGAAAGCATTTATTGGCTGGTGTGTAGATGAAGGTTTGTTTAGTTGTCATTACAAGTGTCCTTTTTGTAGGAAGGAAAATGCGTATGGTTGAGCATCAAAGGATACCTGCACTACAGAGGATATTTCTGACTCTTATTTTTGTGAACTTATGTGGTGACGCTGGTATACAGATTCTAGTTCAGATAATTTTAGAACGTTTTTGGATGCTGTTAAGGAATTTTGTTTGATTAAAGATAGGGAAATCTGTAAATAAAGTATTTCCTTTATGTAGTGATAAGATGAATTTCCTTTCGTATGTTATTTCATTGTTTGATTTAAAATGCAGTTTATTGAGCTTATATATTTTTTGCTGGCTGCTCTTTGACTTTTTAAATGAATATAGATCCATGTGTACATGGGAAAAGTCAACAGAGTGCGTAATGCCTAGTTTGTGCAATTGTTTGAGTTACATCAAAAATCACCGCTACACAAAGGCAAAATAACAAGTGTCCATAATCACCGCTACACAAAGCGAAAATAACAACTGCCCAAAATCACTGCTACACAAAGCCAAAATAGCAAATATCCATGTACCGCCAAAAATTGACAATTAGTGCCAAAGGGCACCCGTAAATATATTTTTACCCAGTTCCACACTTAGTATAGATAAGAAATATTCAGAGTCTAAATTTTAACAGTAAATAAGCGAACATAAAATGACACAGCCATAATGAGAAAAACTGGCCAAAGGAGCAGTAATAAATTATAAATTTTATTCAATATAAATTTCACTACAATAAATTGGCCCTTCTGAGACTTATACATAAAAATTTTATAAAAATATTAATATAGTTTTTTTAACTTTTTCTTTCTTTAAAGCATGAAAATGTATTTTAATATCTGAAAGTACCTTAAATGTGTGCAATGTTCCAGAAGCAACAGTAGTTGTAGTTGTAGTAAGAAGTGTAGTTGTAGTGACTCCAGATGAACGAACTCCATATGGATTTCCAGACAATGCATTGCAGTTTGCATTTGCAGGATAAGGAAATCCAGCAGGAAATACTGTACTTGAATGTACAGAGCATGGAGGTGTCATTGCACTTGAATTTAAAGAACATGAAGGTGGCACAATAGGAAATGGAAAACCCCCAGTATATATTTCATTGGGTGGTGACGGTGAACACGGCCAGAAAGAACCTCCAGTTTGAGGGTGTACAGCAGATAAAGGAGGATAATAAGGCATACTCCCCATATAAACAACTGAAATATGAAATAAAAAAAAAAAAAATTAAAGTATTTTCTTCAATAAAAATAATTAATCCAACAACATAACTAAATCTTCAATATTTATATTCACAACACACCTAAAAGCAAATACTCTAAAATGTGAAGATACATGAAAAAATAGAGATTAGAACAGTTTTACATTTCTAAAGGTAAAAATACCTCTGAACGATTACATTTACATTACATTAACTACAGGACATTATTTGCAATTGCTTTACAATAGTATGAATTAACTTCTATATGAATGATGGTGGTTATTCAAAATATTTCCAATTCATAATCTAGATGAATAATGTATTATAACTCCCTTACAGCATGCATATTTTAAAGTTCTTTTAAAAGCATCTAACTGGATATATTTAATGTATTTAACAGTAATAAATAAAGCAGTTACTTAAAATATATCTTCAATTATAAATTTTTTACCATTTAATCTACTTACTTAAAAGCCCTTCCCCTCCTCCCCAAAAAAGGAAAAAAAAGTAGATAAAAAGAGAAAACAGGTATTGAAGTTTAAACTAAATTTATGAAGAGAAAAATAAAAAATAGCAATTTATCCATCAGAAGCATTAAAATCACAGAACAAATAAAAATTGCACAATAAAATTTATTACTCGGTATCCATTAATAGATAAAAAAACAAATAACTTATATGAAACTTATCAAGTATACTTTGAAATCAGGAGCAATAATAATACACTCAAATATCAAAAATCCGCCGACCTTGAAATGTGTTGCCTCTCAGAATATAAACATTCAGTTTATCGGTTCCGGAAACTGCAACATTGAGTACGAAATATCGAAGAAAAAAAAATACTTACCGAATAAATGACGTCATATTTACCGAATAATAATGAGTTAAAATGGAAATACCAAATTATTGACATAAAAAGTTTAAAAAATAAGATAAATAAGATAAGTTTTTTCCCTCTAATCTGCATTGAGGTAAAAAAGCAGACGATTCATTCAACTCTTTGTTCAAGTTCACGATCACGTTTTGTATTTCGAGCTTTGTTATTTCATTTCACAGATGTTTATGTCGCTTCCTTTTTTTTTTTTATCCGTCTATTTTTGGGATACCGACTAGTTTACTTTCACCCCTTTTAAATAATACAACTAAGAAACACACTTGTGATTTTACTGCTAGCAACGTTGAAAAACGAACACGTTGCATTGACGGTAACGCTAGTGCAATTCTGCAAATAAGTGCAATTCTGCAAGAGATAAAAAAGCATGTGCTACTCCCTCGATTTTAGCAGAATGGGATGGATTGCGACACGATTTGTATTATATATGGAGAATAAAGAAAGCTGTGAAATGTTACAGTAACAGTGATTCTAATATACCGGAATCCGAACCGAAAATCTTTGCATAGCGAATCGCAAACCTTGAGCTGTGTACATATAATAATCAATAAATAATATAATCAATTATATATATAATAATAATTTAATGCATTAATAAATATGCAATGTACTAATACTTTAATTAAATGTATCTAATACGGCTTATTCATTTTGCACTTTTATTCTGAATACTATGCTTTATCTTTTCTGTCCTGAAATCTGCAAAATCCTAAAATCCGCACAACCTCTGGTGTTACGCTTTGCGGATTTCTGGAATTCTACGGTAATAATAAACATGCAGAATGCAACAGCATATAAATTAAGTTATAAATCTTTTCAGATACTACTATGATGCCAACTTTGTCAAGTCATAACAAAGGACAGTACAAAATATATATACACTGATTACTTTTTGGCTATTATTGTAAATTATTGGAATACAATTTTAAAATTAATGTTCATGTGAATGAACAGTTTCTTAAAACTGGGAAAATAATCATAAAACAGCTCTACTTATTTTACAGTAATATCAACACATTAAATACAAAAAATGCATTATTAGAATTTAATTTTAAAAATGTTAATTCAAAAATGAAGAAAATCTTCATAAAATATTTGAAACTTTTAAGAAATAAAAGCAAATTTTTAATTTTTAAAACTATATTTGTTCTGATTTGTAGGAGATGTGAAAATGTGCATCATTTTCGATTTTTTCAAACTCTGAACCTCCTTTCTTTCTTTTCTTTTCAAATTAAAACTTTTTTTTTAATCAAATTCAACCAAACACTTATTTTGTTCATTGCTCCATTTAGTTGACAAGACACTAAAAACTCTTTCATAGCATGCTGACAATGCATACTGGATAGTTGCTGTGTCTTCTAAGTTACGAATATTGTAGTTTAACAAAAGGTCAGCCTAATACTAAATTTGGATAATGATGGTTGAAAAGTAGAGCCATTCAAGATTCCGAAAGATACAACCATCTCACATAATTACAATTTAAAAAAATTACACAACAAAATTTCTTAACAGAAACTAATAATTTCATATAATTTCTCCACTAACTGCATTATTACACATTGCAAATTTATTAAATTCTGAAAACATTTATTAACTTCAGAATCACTGCACACTTTTCCAGAAATGAATTACAATGAAAAATATCTCAATTTAAATATACAAAATGCATCATTAGCAATTATACATAACAAGAATTATACAGAATTAAAAATTAAAGACCATCGATGGCAGCATTTATTAAATACACTACAAGAATTACACAGAATTAAAAACTAAAGACCATCGATGGCAGCATTTATTAAATACACTACAATTAAAAATTAGAGACCAAAAGATGGCTATTTACCATATTATATATACACACACACATTTATTGCAGTGAATTTAATGTACAAATACCACATTATTTAGACTATTCAAAATCTACAATATATAGTAAAGTTTACATCCATAAATTTCAGTTTATAATTTACATATTAGGTTAGTTTTTTTTTTTTTTTTTTTTTTTTTTTTTTTGCAAGCAGAGCAAGGCAGATGAGCAGTAATGTGGCTGAACAATGGTAGTTTGGTCTGAGGCCCGAATTCCATGAATGGGCTGCTTGCATGAAAATTTGTGATTTCCCTCATGTGTTATGTGTATGCGAGTCGGTTTTCCTTAAAGTCCTCCACAAAAGCATCCCTCCTTTTAGGCAGGTAGCCCTCGAGTGCTCTGCTATAATCAAATAAATCAAACCATACATGCAGAGCAATAAAAGTCTGATATTTTGGCATTTAATGGCTCAGTACAAAAAATAATCCCCACACGCATACTGTCTCAGAGCGTGTTATTCACTAACATTCGGAAACACTCAGCTACGTACCAGTGCCTTTCGTCTCGAAATCAATGAAAATTTACAGAATTAACAGATATAAAAACTACTTTTTAAAGTTTGGATTTCTTAATAGCACTAAATGTAATGCTTCTGTTCGATAAACTGTAGTAGTATGATACATATGCATCTGATTCTTCTACAACATACCTTCCACCAAGCACATCTTCTGATTCAACTTAGGAAACCAACGAGTTAGAAATGTAAATGCAGGTACTCTAAGCAAATGCATTAAATTCTGACATCACTATCAAAGAGTTAAGACCAGTTCAATATAGACTACATTTTTATTGCTGCTATTACTAGCAGATATGCATAAACTGTAAAATGAGGGAGAATGCTACTCTATGATCAAACACTGTAGAATGCTGAACTCCATTCAAAGAGTTCCTTTGTACAATCCATTAATCATTTTCCCCCCTTTCTTTTAGCAGATAAAAGCTGACTACTAGCAGACAGTTGAATTATGTTTAAGGGAGCTGAATTAGCAATACAATGATATGAATCCAAAACATAAATACAGGGTGATCAGCGAATAAGCCTCGATTTCAAAATTAAATATCTCTACAACAAAGATCGATAAATTATCGTAACTGTACGTTATAAGCAACTGTAAAAATGGATACAAAAGTTTAGAAATTAGTTACGAAGTGTACCAGATGCCTTTAATGCAATGACCTATCAAAGCCTTAAAAATGGGCTTGAATTCTAAGTGATCAGTACTACTGTTGCTAGTAAAAAAGGCTACATAGAAAGTGAATAATTTTTCCATTGACAACATGTTTTTTTTTTTCTGATTTCACCGATATAACACATCTAAAGCAACACTTCTCAGTTTTCAAAACCATTCAATTTTCCAGGAACCCAGTGCGAAACCCAGTCGCATGCTCACCGAAATTCGAATGGACTCGCAGCATGGCTGATGATTGAAGAGAAATGTTGACTAGGCAAACTGTAGTCCTCCTGAAATGCAGCCAAAGTTTCTGAATGTTCAATAAATTCTAGGAAGCATCGATGGATGCATCAAAGACGGTTTGAGTACACGACACTAAAAAATATTAAAAATAGCCTACACGGTTTCCATACAAATCAAGTCATCAGGCCATACCAGGAAGCTGTGCAACAAGATTGACTTTGCAATCAATTCTAACAATGGTCGCAAGACGATTTCATGGAGCTGCATCTGTTCACAATGAGGCACATTTTCATTTGAAGGATCGTTAATTAAAAAAAACTGGAGATTTTGGGGTTCCAAATCCTCATTCGTGTAAGAAAAGCACTGCATTCTCTAAAGTTACGCATGGATGCAGTAGCGCCAGAGGCATTATGACCCTTTTTCGTACGAAACGATATTCTACGGAACGTTACGTTACAATTTTGGACAATTTGTCAGCCTCAACTAGCGTTGGAGGATCGTGGTTATGCAAATGGGCTCACAGCACATCGAACAATAAAGATTTTTGCTTTCCCATGAAACTTTGGGATAGAGTAATTGCGTTAGATATCTGCAATTTACGACACGGGATAGCTTGGCCTCCATATTCTCCTGACGAGTCTGTGACTTTTTTCGTGGGGGGCTTAAAGACACTGTCTTATCGAAACATTTCTACTCTGCTAGATGACTTGAAATCGTTGATTGGTGTTGCATTGATCATTCCCTTTGATACATGCAGACGGTGTTTAATTCATTGTCCCACCTCTCGTTCGTTTGCGCCACCTCATTGTTTCGAACGTGACCATTTTGAAAAAATTGGTATTTTGATTGCAAGAGGCTGCTTCACTTATTTGTTTTGTTTTTTTTTAATCGTCAGAAAAGAGTGATCACGCAAGCGTCATCTTTAACATTTTCGGAACTAAATTTTCTAAACTTTTGTCCCATTTGTACAGTTTTGCTAATGAACATACAGTTTACTGCATAATTCTATTGATCTTTGTTATAGAGATATTTAATTTTGAAATCAGGGCTTATTCGCTGATCACTCTATAGGTTAAGAATGTTAAATTCTGCATAATCTGCAATTTATTTTCTAGTATACTTTCAACCATTAAACACATTTGTAAAATTACTGAACTTGCAGGTTTGCATAAAACTATTCATTCTTATAACAGCAAATAACATTTACAAACCATGTCATTACAGTAGTCATGTAATGCAACCATTTCTGTTGCATTACATGACTACTGTAACTTCCAGTTTTGCGCAAAGTTTTTTATTCTTACAATACGTCAAACAATATTTCAGAAATAGTTTATATCACATTACATATAGTTTGACATATACAACTGCTAATGCTCCAAGCGCAACAAATTATGAAATTTTTACTGAATATTAATTTTTACTAGGAACCATATGTTCTAATGGTTACCAAACATTTATATATAAATGAAAGAGACAGACAAAAAATTCAAAATCTAAATGTTACATTACCTGGTATAAAGAATGGTGTTGGAGTAGCTGGTGACCCCGTACAATTATTTGGAGGGAATATGCATGGATGGGAAATATTAGGTGTACACATGGAATTAGCATGCGAATCAGAAACACTGGAAGGCACGGATGCTTGGCATCTAAATACAGACTGGGAAGCAGGAGTCACTTTTACTAAATCTGTTTGTGTTGGTGTCGATGCAGTTAAATTATGAGAATGAGAACTCTTTTTATGCTTTACATGACCAGACTCCTTTTGTTGAAACCAATTACTGTCTTTCAAAGGATTTTTTTGTTGGTGGTGATTGCTGAGATAAACTGTGCTAACACCTAAAGTAACTTTATTCTTGCGTTGATGCTGCTTAAGATGTTTATGCTGCATTCTGTTGTGCACAGAGAGAGTTTCTTCAGTGAGAGCTAAACATGTAGAAAAATTTTCCATGTTGTTACCAATGGAATCACTTGAATTTTTTTTCCATGTCTGATTACAAAAGCTGGCTTGACTTGTACACGGATCATTAATGCCATCTTTCTCCAAGCTTTTACCATATCCTGAATCACCAGTAGTAAATGACGACATATTGCACTTTGATGAATTGCTACCGGATTCCTGAATTTTATTCTCATAGCTTGTTGGTGGTGATTGCTGAGATTTAGTTACTTTACCTGAAAAATAAAAAATACAGTCTGCAACAGCAATAAATCAGAAGTAATAATAAACTACACACTATAACAATATCAAATGACATACGAAATGCTATTTAAAATAGCAACAGATTAGTATTTAGTTTATATTTATCAATTTATCAGCACCAAATAAAAGGCTCAGTGAAATTCTTATGAAGTATTTCAAAATGCTTTCCTTGTTCTTCTCATTTGCTATTAATAACCTGCAATAATAACTGCTAGGTTAAATAGTTCCAAAGTAATTATATTTCACTTTTTAGGAGAGCAATTGCATTCTCTTGACAGAAAATGCTTCATACCTTCAGAGGAAAAGTAACTGATCTACACAATAGGAATTGACTTAACACATTAAATAATTTTATACATGAAGAAGCTCTCTACTGTAATCAAATCTCTACATATAATAAAAGAGTCTGTCTGTGTGTGTGTCCTTCGTTCGCGCTGCGCGTAAGCTAATAGACCCACAGCTACGAAATTTGC